ATCCAGTACTCTAGTCATCTGAAGAAGTGGGCTATGCCCATGAAAGTTCACGATACCAGATACATGTTTTGTTAGTTTTTAACATGCTACCAAATTATTTGTTGTTTTTTAAGTTTTTTCTTGGATAAGTTAGATGTCTTCAAATCACTAGGCATCTAATGAAAAACATCCTAGAATACGCAAGGAGCTCACTGAGAAGATATCTGTGCCTTTAGCTGTTATCTTTGAAAAGTCATAAAAGATAGGAGAGATTCCAGAAGACTGCAAAAGGGTAAATACAGTGCCCATCTACAAAAAGGAAAATAAGGACAACCAAGAAAATTACAGACCAGTCACCTTGACCTCTGTACTTGGTAAGATAATTGAGCAAATAATTAAGGAATCCATCTGCAAACAGCTGGAAGATACTAAGGTGATAAGTCATTTGTCAAGAACAAATTGTGTCAAACCAACCTGACAGATGTCTTTGAAAGGTTAACAAGCCTTGTAAATAGAGGGAAGCAGTAGATGTGGTATATCTAAAGTTTAGTAAGGCTTTAGATACAGTCTTATATAACCTTTTCATTAATAAACTAGGGAAATACAACCTACATGGAGCTATATAAATTGGATGCCTAACCGTTTTCAGAGAGTAACCACGTGATCTTTACAAGAGTTCACAGAGAGTAATTATCAGTGGTTCACAATCATGCTGAAGGGTTCTGCAGGGATCAGATCTGGGTCTGGTTCTGTTCAATAACTTCATTTATTTAAATAGTGGCATAGAGAGTACCCTTATAAAGTTTGCACAGGATACTAAGGTTTGAAGGGTTGCAAATGTCTTGGAGAATAGGATTATAATTCAAAGTGAGGTGAATAAACTGGAGAAGTGGTCTCAGGTAAACAGGATGAAATTCAACAAGGAAAATGCAAAGCACTCTACTTAGAAAAGAACAATCAGTTGCACACATATAAAATGGAAAATGATTATTTAGGAAGGAGTACACTAATTAGTTGCACACATATAAAATGGAAAATGATTTTTTAAGAAGGAGTACACTGGAAAGGAATTTGGGGGTCATAGTGGACCACAAGCTAAATATCAGTCAACAGCGTGACTCTGTTGCAAAAAAAAGCAAACATGAATCTGGAAGGTATTAGAAAGAAGAGTGTTGTAAGCAAAACACAATAAGAATTTTTTTTTGTTCGCTGTGCTGTTCAGGCCTCAGCTTGAGTACAGTGTCCCATTCTGGGCACCACATTTCAAGAAAGATATGGAGAAATTGGAGAAGGTCGAGAGAAGAGCAACAAAAAGGATTAAAGGTCTAGAAAACATGACCTATGAAAAAAGATTGAAATAAATGGGTTTGTTTAGTCTCGAAAAGAAAAGACTAAGAGGGAACATGATAAAAGTTTTTAAGAACCTAAATAGTAGTTACAAGGAGAAGGGACAACAATTAATCTCTTTGACCTCTGATGATAGGACAAGAAGCAGTAAGCTTGAATTGCTACAAGCAAGGTTTAGGTTGCACTCTAGGAAAACCTTCATGTCAGGGTGGTTAAGCATTGAAATAAATTGCCTGTCCATGAAGGTTGTGGGATCTCTATCCCTGAAGCTTTTTAAGAGCAGATTAGACAAACACCTTTCTGGGATGTTCTAAACCATGCTTGGTCCTGCTGTGAGGACAGGTCTCTGATTCTATGACAGATTGAAGTTTTGCAAAGCGTGGGTAGCTGAGTGGGTAGGGGGAAATAGAACGGGATATAGCACCTCCCTGGTCCGGCACCCTTGGGATCTAACCAGTCCCAAGGAAGAGTTTGCTAGACCAGGTGTGGTCAATTCCATCTCTCTGCTGATGGATTCTGGGCTCTCCCACGGTCCATCAGCAGACCCAGATGGGCTCCCCTCCTGGCTGCTGGGCTATTCTCTGCCCCTGGGCCATTGTAGCTCTGCAGCCAACCTGGAGCCATCAGCCTCCCAGCTCCACTCCCTGTCTCTGGGATTCCAGGACACTCTGGTCCGGCAACATCCATGGGCTGGCAGGAGACACCTAATTAAAGCAAGATACGGATTGCCTCCATCAGGAAGAACCTGATTGAGGTAAATGGAAGAGAAAAGCACCTTACCACCTAATATAGGAGAGGAGAACTGAGAGTTACAGTGAGACAGGTATTAAGAGGTTCAGGATATATGTTTATGTTGCATGGGGGGTAGAAAATTCTTCTTCATAGGGAAAAAGAAACAGATTTGCTTTGGATTAAAGAGTCTTTTAAATGCATATTACGATGTGGTGAAGTTTATGAAGCTGTGATATCCTAGAGTATGTCTACACTACAAAGTTAATTCGAACTAACAGACGTTAGTTCGAATTAACTTTGATAGGCGCTACACATGCAAACCGCTAGTTCGAACTTAATTCCAACTAGCGGAGCACTTAATTCCAACTAGGTAAACCTCATTCTACGAGGACTAACGCCTAGTTCGAATTAACTAGTTCAAATTAAGGGCTGTGTAGCCACTTAATTCGAACTAGTGGGAGGCTAGCCCTCCACAGCTTTCCCTGGTGGCCACTCTGGGCACCACCAGGGAAACTCTTCTGCCCCCCTCCTGGCCCCGGAGCCCTTAAAGAGGCACGGGCTGGCTACGGTGCCCGTGCCAGGTGCAAGCCTGCCAGCACCCAGCCAGCAGACCCTGCACCTGGCACGCCATGAGCCACCCACCCGATGCT